CGGTCGAGGGGAAGGGGGTCGCTCTGAGGGGAGAAGAGTCAGGCAAAGAGGCGGTGGGGGCGGGGGTCTGTTTATTAGCATCTCTCGCGGCCGCCCCTCGGAACCTGTCATGTCCAGCCTGGAAGAGCAACTTCAGGTGAAGACTCTGGGGTGGTTGCCATGTCTGAGTCCCAAGCCTTGTTGTGTATACACAGCTCTTCGGATCGTGCAGAGTAGTCCTGTCATCCGGACAGGCAAAATGTTTTTTGTTCATTCTTGAATTAACCGAGCAGACACGGTGAAGTGGATCTTATAGATCTGGAAATCGAAGAAGCAGGTTTTTTTTTTCCCCCCAAAGAAGTGAAATTCTTAGGGAGATTAACAAATGGGAACTCCTAGCGAGTAGTTCACAAGAAGAACTTGCAGTTAACAAGAGAACGTGCGGCTGGTGTGAACGGGACAGGTTTCCGATCGGCATCTGGTGGAACTTGTGGATTTTGGGGTGGGAGGTGAGTGTTGAGCAGCTGGGGGTCGGAGGTGTCTATTCGCCTCCATCCGCAGTCCTAGAGGAGCAAGCCGGGCGAGTTTTAAGCTTTCTCTATCACATCCGTTTTTAAAATAAAAGGCTTCCTAGAAGGTCTTATCTAATGGATGTGGTGGGCATGGATGTTAACTGTTTAATGATTCATGACTGCTAGTAAGAGTCTGTCTACATAGCAAATCAGGAACAGGTTTTTAGCTTTCATCTTTATGATGGTTGAAACTAGTTATCAAAATCTCCAAAACTTAAAAGCCCGATACGTAGTTACGGTGCGGAGAGCACTGGCTCAGGAGGTTTGAGGCCTGGGTCTTGGACACCATTCTGTTGTTAACCGACGCTGTGACTTGGGGCCAGGCACCTCCACTCTTCAAGCATATACCATGAGAGTCAAGTTCTTCCAAACAAAAATTCTGGGAAGTATAAAAATTCACACAGGCCTCTCTTTTAGAAGTTACCTGTGCAGTAACGGTGGCTCAGATGAATGAATTCTATCTTTTTTTGAATAATCTTGTATGTTTTATATTGCTTTTTTAAAATCTTGGGAGGAAAAGTTGGGTGTCTTACATAGCTAGGAGTCTCAAATTCATGTTGCTGAACAGGGAGTTTTAGGCTTTGGCTGCCACAGTCTCTGTCGCATATTCTTCTTTGTTTTTTACAAGCCTTTAAAAAATGTAAAAACCAGCCTTACCTCAGGGGCACACAAAACAGGGCCTATAGTTTGCTGACCTTTCTAAAGACTGTTAGTTGCAGTATGGGGTATATACTGTCTTCATATGGCTTTGGTCTGGTCAGAACATGGTCTTTTTGTAGAAATAAAACATACTTTCAACTCACTTAGGAACTAAAATTAAGGAGAAACTTCCCATGTTATATTTTGGTTTATGTCCTGGGTGGGGAACCTTTTTTCTGCTAAGGGCCATTTGGATATTGGTAACATCATTCGCTTAACTTAATTAACTTAATATAAACTTATGTTGCTATGAGAAAAGCTCCTAGGTTTATTGAATTTTGAATCCCACCTACGGTTGCCTTGGCAGGGCCAGACCAAATGATTTTCTTGGGCCTTACATGACCCAAGGGCCGGCTATTCCCCACCCATGGTTATGTCTTTGGGCTGGGGGGAGCGGAAATAAACTGACTCATTTATTTAGGATTTTAAATGTATTATTTCAGATAGACAAATTTGTTAATTAACCTTTGCTTAAAATATGTTTAATTCAATCCACTTATTTTCATGTTTTGCTTAATTTTATTAACATTGAAAAATATCTATTGCCTTTTTGTATAAAGAGAGAGCTTAAATAGCATAAATATTCAGGATTTAATTACAAGTTGGAAGCTATAAGAAATCCCTACAGTGGAATTCTTGCAGTAACATATATTGCAGTGGCATTCTGGGTATCTTGAAGGCAGTTTATCTAAAAATTGGCTTAAGACATAAAATGTGAGACAAAAGCGAGGGAATGTGAACTTAATTGGTTTAAGGGAGTTTGAGATTGAAAACATAGCCCTCCATTGCTTTCTAAGTGGGAAGCATTTGGGGAAACTCACATACTGTTGAGTTACCTACCTAACACTGGTTGGGCATTGCACAGTATCAATAGGGTAAGAAGCTCTCAGGGACCTTGTAAATTACAGGAATATACATGTGTAACATAAAGCAAAACATGAATACCATAGGAGAGGTACAAAGGAAGTATCAGGAGAGGCTTCTTAGTTCTGAGGGAGTTTAGTGTGGAGGAAGGGCGGTGGGATTAAGAGGACTTCCAGGCAGAGAAAAAACATGACCAAAGGTGGAAAGTGTAGGAGCCTTTCCAAGGACTAGCAGATAGCTTGTACCCAAGGTAGAGTATGTTTTCCGGGTAATGGAAAATAGAATTAGACCATATTTGGAAAGATTATAAGAACAGATGGAAGATTTCATGTTTCAATAGGCAGTGGCGCTCACTGGTAGTTTTTTACTTTGAGTGAGGAAGAGAGTAGAGGCTGGGCTTGGAGGCTGGTGCAGTGGTCTGAAATGGATGCTAGGTAATGGGCATCCAAACTAGGGTGACAACAGAGGAATAGAAAAGGAGGGGCTGGATGAACAAACAGGTCTGTTATTGAAGGGCTTCTGAGTAGTCACTATGTGAGATGCTTTGTGGGATAATGTTTAATTGAGGCCAGATTATCAAGGCTGGGTGGAGAGCTTTGAACTGTGAAGGCAACAGGTAGTTGTAGATATAAGAGAAATGACACATAAAAGCAGTGCTTTGGGAAGTCTTTAGGAGATCAGTAGAACAGGAGTTATAGGGAAGAAACTGGAGATGAATTTGGGGACTGATTCTAAGTGCTTGTACAAAGTGGTGATCTAGACCATGGTACTCAAATATAGGAGGAGGGGAGGCATTGGTGAGGACAATTATTTTATCCTCTGGGGGGGCAGTTGCCACAACTGGGGCGAGGGAGCAGTTCTACTGGCATCTGGTGGATAAGAGGGAGAGATGCTGCTAAACTTCTTACAATGCACAGGACAACCCCCCGCAAATAATTATCTGGCCCAAAATATCACTAGTGCTGAGATTGGACTTGTGGTGGCAGAAGGACAGAAAATGAAGCTAGAGATAGAGTAGAGATTATGAAGGTAGACTTGGTGATATTTAGATGATATTAAGATGAAAGAAGACTAGGACAAGGATTAGTCTCTGTTGGACCCCACTCACAATTAGAAAAGGGGCTGGAAGAGGGCCTAATTTTTAAAAGAGATAATGAGTTTGATGTCGGCATTTTGAGATGGCAATGGAAATCTCCAGGAGATGGTTGGAAACAGGTAGAGATTTGTCCACCTAAGTGCTGGTTCTTACAGTGAAGTTCAGGCATCTGGGGTCTCTTTTTCATCGCCTAAGTGTCTTGCTTGGGGGCAGGGGACAGATAGCTCCTCACACTGTGGGCATGCATCTACACATCAGGGCTTTGATTGATGGAATCATTTTCAGCATTTTGTTAATAAAAGTCGTGAGAAGGCTGAGTCATCTTGGGGAATGAGTTTAGGAACAAAGAACAGAGGGCCCAAAACTGAAGGAGGAAGGAGCTGGCATTTATTGAGTGCTTATTATGTTTCTTTTACCAGGCAAGTAATTTTCATGGAGGAATTCATTTGATCCTTGCAACAACTCTGAAGTGGATATTATTTTTGTTTTTTAACTAGGAACTTGATAAGCAGAGAAATTAAATAACTTGTTAGTGAACAGAGTCTCTCTTCCTTATCATTATTCCTTGGCACCTCTCAATTCTTTTTTCTTTTTTTAAAAATATATTTTATTGATTTCAGAGAGGAAGAGAGAGGGAGAGAGAGAGATGGAAACATCAGTGATGAGAGAAAATCATTGATTGACTGCCTCCTGCACTCCCCACACTGGGGATCAGTGAAATAGCAACCCAGGCATGTGCCCTGACCCGGAATCGAACTGTGACCTCCTGGTTCATAGGTCGATGCTCAACCACTGAGACACACCGGCTGGGCTCAGCTCTTTCTTACTTTCACAGTTCATGTGATTGTTTTGCCCAAAGTTCTTATGAAGACTGGATATTCTAAATTATTTGTTTTGAGTTATATATGGATTTTCTCCTTCACATAGTAAATAGTTTTATGTATAATAATGTCTTGAGACACAGCCACTTAAGAGAAATAGGAAGATTCTTGAAGTTGGTACCATGGGCACACAGACACACAATTTTACATTACTACAACTGTCAAACATCTTAAGGTATGTTCTGACTTTAAGGGTTTGTTTATGGAGGCAGTATGGCAATACACAAAGCGAATATGAATAGCTAACACTTTATAGAATTATGCTCCACACCAGAAAAGAGCAGAACTCAGGGGGAGAAAAATCTGTCTTTATAGGATTTAATTGTAAGAAATTTTGCTGTCTGCTGCACAAGAAAATATTCAGAGGTTTAAAAATATTTTTTTCCAGAAATAATTTATTTTATTTTTTAAAGATTAGGGAAGGTATGCTATTTACCACGCTAATAAGTATGTTTCTTAGCTTTTGCTTAAAACCTCTATGCTGGGAAATGTTTTAAAGCTTCTTACAAACTTTGAATGTGTAATAATTTGATAAAAATTTCTAGTACTAACTGTTCCTTTGTTGAAGGTTATAAACAATGTACCCTATTAATGAGGCTGAAAAAATCTTTTAGATCATTTGTGTTGAGCAATATCTTGTTAGACTATTTGAATAACACATTAAGTTAATGGGGGGGAAGTGACAAGAATTAAACATAAACCATTTTGTCTTTCTCTTAAAATTTGTTCAATTATAAGAACTACTCATTAGTGATAGGATTAAAATAGGAAACAGAGCCTCATTATGCACTGAAAATTATAAACTTAATACAAATAAATGTCACGTTTGTTATTCTGGAGTAGGGATTATTTTCATTTGTAATTCCTGAATCCCTAAAGAATTATAAGAAACTATAAAAATAATCTTGCCTTAATTAGACACTTTCTTATACACAGTTGAAAAACCATACACTGTGAAAAATGTCACACTTAATGACTTTATGTAGTGTAATATTTACTTTAAAAATGTCTCTCTTTTTATATTACATTGTGCTAGTTTTGGTCTATTTTTTTCCTTAACCAAGTCCCACGGTTAGAATCTTAGTATTTTGGGAATTCATGCTAAGTATTTTGATGGAGCAGTAAAAGAGCATGAGAGATTTGTGTAAGGAGCACTAAATATGGGAGGCAAGTTCCAGTCCTGTCTCTAGCTGGCTTTGTGACCTTGAACAAATCACTTACTATCTGGGTATTCTCACTACCTGAAGTGATTGGATTGGGTTTTCAGACTCTAACCACAACCTTAAGAAAGTAGCACAAAGACTTGAAATTAGTTGCTTCATGATTTTGACACTGGAATTGATTTCTTTTGTATTCTTTGGGAGATTTGAGATCCATCGTGCTTGGTTCTTTAAGGCATCTAGATGGCCAATGAAAATTTTAAATGGGTGACAGACTTTGCATTTCCAGTGTTTTTCCTCATATATGTTTCATTTTTCCATAGTCTTTTCTGTGATAGATGCATTTTCATTTTTCTTTTCCCTACTTTACCTCTGTGTAAGGAATTTATGTCTGATGGGTTGCATACATATAGGCATGACCTAAAAAATCAGGATATAATAAGTTTGACTCAGAGATCTTTTTTTTTTTTTTTTAAAGTACATCAGTTTTTCTTTTTTTTTTTTTAATATATTTTATTGATTTTCCACAGAGAGGAAGGGAGAGAGATAGAGAGTTAGAAACATCGATGAGAGAGAAACATCGATCAGCTGCCTCCTGCACATCCCCCACTGGGGACGTGCCTGCAACCCAGGTACATGCCCTTGACCGGAATCAAACCCGGGACCCTTCAGTCCGCAGGCCGACGCTCTATCCACTGAGCCAAACCGGTTTCAGCTAGAGATCTTTTTTAAAGTTCATACCATACACCAGATTTCATTGGGATTTGATAAATTATAGGACTTAGATTTTTAAAAAATTACATCTCTTCATTTTGTTTCAAGAATTGTATGTTGAATTTGAGTTTATCTTGTTAAATGATGAAACCGGAATTTATCATTTATCTCCTTCTAACCTCTTAGGTTTTGGATTCCTTTGAGATTCTGGCATACACACTGGACATCTGTTTAGAAAACATAGTTAAACGAAATTTTGTGTATAATTTGAGGTTGTCAACCTTCCCCAACCTAGTCAAGCTCATCCCATGGACTACTACAGTAAGAAAGTTTTAAGGAAGAGCAGACGAATCTGTGAAATGCTGAATGAACATGTCTTCCTTAAAGTTTTGTATATTTTTAATAAATACTTCTTCATGGTTACTGTTTATATTTGGGGTGTATATGCAGTAGTGAAAAACCAGAAATCTTCCCCTGCCTTCTTGGATTATACTTGTGCTAAAGTAAAAATGGAAAAGAACTGTGTACAGTTAATAGAGTATCATGGGAGACCGGGGGGATCTACTTAGGTGTAAGGGAAGGCCTCACTGAAGAGACATGGACATAAAGTAAGGGAGAGAGAATGAGATGTTTCACATAGAGGGAACAGAATGCAAAGGGCCTGATGCTGTGAAGAGCTTAATGTGTTTGAGAAAATGAAAAGTTGGAGTAATATGAACAAGAGCAGAGAATGGCTATAGGTCTTGTACACAGTGATAAGGAGTTTGGATTACAAAATACTAAAAGAGCCAATATCCCTGATGAACATAGATGCTAAAATCCTTAACAAAATATTAGCAAATTGAATCCAGCAATATATTAAAAAGATCATACACCATGACCAATTGGGATTTATTCCAGGGATGCAAGGCTGGTACAGTATTCATAAATCAATAAATGTGATATGTCACAAACAAATTGAAAGACAGAAATCACATGATATATCAATAGATGCAGGAAAAGCATTTGACAAAACCTAACACCCATTTTTGATAAAAACTCAGCAAAGTGGGAATAGAGGGAGCACACCTCAACATAATAAAGGCCATATATGACTAAGCTATAGCCAACATCATACTCGATGGGCAAAAACTAAAATCATTTTCCCTAAGAACAGGAACAAGACAGGGATGTCCACTTTCACCACTGTTATTCAACATAGTACTAGAATTCCTAGCCACAGTGATCAGACAAGAAGAAAACAAAAGGCATCCAAATTGGAAAGAAGGAAGTAAAACTCTCATTATTCGCAGATGATATGATATTGTACATAGAAAATCCTAAAGACACCACCAAAAAACTACTATATTTAATAAATGAATTCAGCAATGTGGCAGGACACAAAATTAACACCCAGAAATCGATGGCATTTTTGTACACCAAGAAAGAATTCTTAGAAAGTGAAACTAAACAATCCCATTTATCACTGCAACAAAAAAATTAAGATACTTAGGAATAAACTTAACCAAGGAGGTAAAAGACTTGTACTTGGAAAACTACAGGACATTGAAAAAAGAGCTAGAGGAAGATATAAACAAATGGAAGAATATACCATGTATATGGATTGGTAGAATTAACATCATTAAAATGTCCATACTACCCAAAGCAATCTACAGATTCAATGCAATCCCTATTAAAATACCAATGGCATATTTCACAGATCTAGAACAAATACTCCAAAAATTTATATGGAAACAAAAAAAGACCCTGAATAGCCTCAGCAATATTGAGAAAGAAGAACAAAGTTGGAGGAATCACAATACCAGACGTCAAGTTTTACTACAAAGTCACTGTAATCAAAACTGCCTGGTACTTGCACAAGAACAGACATATAGACCAATGGAACAGAACAGAGAACCCAGAAATTGACCCAAGCTATTATGTTCAATTAATATTTGACAAAGGAGGCAAGAACACACAATGGAGTCAATACAGTCTCTTCAGTAGATGGTGTTGGGAAAATTGGACAGATACATGCAAAAAAATGAAACTAGACCACGAACTTATACCATACACAAGAATAAACTCAAAATGGATAAAGGACTTAAATGTAAGTTGTGAAACCATAAAAATACTAGAAGAAACCATAGGCAGCAAAATCTCAGACATCTTGGGGGGGGGGGGGTCAGTCGGGGAAAAAGGAGACATGTAATAATTTAAACAATAAAATAAAAAAGAAAGAAAAAGTCTCAGACATCTCTCGTAGCAATATGTTTGCGATACATCTCCTAAGTAAACAAATGGGACTACATCAAAAGAAAAAGCTGCACAGCAAAAGAAACCATCAACAAAGCAAAAGGGAGCCCACTGTATGGGAGAACATGTTTGGCAATGATACATCTGATAAAGGATTAATATGCAAAATATATAAGGAACTCATACAACAACAAAAGGAAGACAAACAGTCCAATTAAAAAATGGGCAAAGGACCTAAATAGACACTTCTCCAAAGTGGACATACAGATGGCCAAGAGACATATGAAAAAATGCTCAAAGTCACTGATCATCAGAGAGATGCAAATTAAAACGACAAGGAGGTATCACACCTGATAGAATGGCCACCATCTACAAATGACAAGTGCTGGTGAGAATGTGGAGAAAAGGGAACCCTAGTACACTGCTGGTAGGAATGCAGACTGATGCAGCCATTATGGAAAACAGTATGAAGTTTCCTCAAAAAATTAAATATGAAACTGCCATTTGACCCAGTATTCCATTTATACCACGGAATACTATGCAGCAGTAAAAAAGAAGGTTTTCTTACCTTTTGAGACAGCATGGAGGGACCTAGAGTATTATGCTAAGCAAACAAAGCCAGTCAGAGAAAGACAAGTATAACATGATCTCATTCATATGTGGAATCTAATGAACAAAATAAGGGGGGGGGGGGGGGGGGGGGGGGGGGGGGTGGAAGGGTGGTTGGGAAGAGATAGAGGAACTTGTATGCATATATGCATAACCCATGGACACAGACAATAGGGTGGTGAAGGCCTGGGATGGGGGACGGGGACGGGCTAGAAAAGAGTCAATGAGGAGAAAAAGGGAACATAGGTAATACTTTGAACAATAAAGATTTTTTTAAAATATGAAAAGATTTTGTTCAGCAGGTAGCATCATATGAATTACATTTAAAAAAAATTACCCTGCTGTATAGAGAAGAAAATACTGGGACAAGCAGAAATAGATTGGCTAGTGGATATGCAGTAATTTAGGGGACAATGACTTACATTAGTGGAATGGAGAGGAGTGGACATATTTGAGATATTTTTAGGTGGTAGAAATAGGAGGTCATGATAATGAATTGGATTTGAGATATTTTTACATGGTAGAAATAGGAGGTCATGATAATGGATTGGATGTGAAACTTAAGAAAGAGGGAAGAACTCAGGGGTATTGCTGGATGTTGTCATTATTGGATTGCTGGGGAAAGAATGTTTTTTTACTGTTGTTTTAGTTTTTTGCTTGTTTTATTTTGGAGGAGGGATAATGTGAATTTAGGAGTTTCCTTTAGTCAGTCTTGAGTTCTCAGAAGCCTCTGAGATTGTCAAGTAGACCTCTATCAGAGAGAACCAGTTATCTTAAGGAACTCAGATATTTGGCTTGGAGACGTCAATTTGAAGATTATCTGTGTATTAGTGATACTTAAAGCCATGAAAATAGGTGAAATCTCTGAGGAAGAGACTGTGGGAGTATAGGTTTGGCTAGAAATAGAACCCTGAGGATCTCTGTACATTTTAAAGTTGTGTAAACTGGAAGGTCACTAGGAAGGAGGCGTAAGAATTGTAGGGAAATTGGAATGTATATTGGATCATGTCATGGATGCCAAGTAATGCAAGTTTTCAAGGAAAGGATAGTTAACTGTATTGAGTTTGACTTAGAGGTTGAGAAGATGTGGGCCATTGGCTTTGACAACCTAGAGGTCATCAGTAACTGAGATGAGCCAGTTTCATGGCTTTGTAGAGATGGAAGCCAGATTTAAGTGACTTGAGGGGATACATGATAGCTCAGGCCTAGAAATTTGGTGTGTAGATAGCTTTATAAAGAAGTTTGCCTATGAAAGGAAACAGATACGGGGTAGAAGATAGAGGTGTATGAGGATATAAAGGAAGTCTTTGTTGAGTGTAAGAAATACTGCAGCATGATTTTAGTTGTTAGGATTAATAAAAGAAGGAAGGAAGATGAGAGAAGTCCTTGAGAAAACAAAGTTCAGGATCCTGACTTCATAGAGCAGTGGTTCTCAACCTTCCTAATGCCGTGACCCTTTAATACAGTTCCTCATGTTGTGGTGACCCCCAACCATAAAATTATTTTCGTTGCTACTTCATAACTGTAATTTTGCTACTATAAACAATATGTAATTATATATCTTTTTTCCTATGGTCTCAGGCGACCCTTGTGAAAGGGTCGTTCGACCCCCAAAGGGGTCGCGACCCACAGGTTGAGAACCGCTGGCATAGAGGGTCAGTTCTTTGATAGGAAATGGATCATCCTCAATTTTAAAAGGAAAGAAGAAGTAAAAACATAAATATAGAGAGAAGTAGATATATAGATTTAATGGAGGGAAATTAGAATATTCTAGCCTAATGGCTTTACTTTTTCTACAAACTGAGGCGAGTTTAACAATTCTGTAGTGAGAAATTATCTGAATATGAAAGTAAGAAAACTATTCACCGTGTCATCAAAAGAAATAAAGTATTTAGGAAGAAATTTAACAAAAGCACCAAGATGTTTTTACTACAGAGACATTGCTGAAAGGAATTAAAGAAGATTTAAATAAATGGAGAGACAGCCTGTGTTCATAGATTGGAAGATTGAATGTTGTTAAAGTGATGGTTCTCCCCAAATTGATCTACAGAGTCAACAAAATTCTTATCAAAATCCCAGAAGACTTTTTTGAAGAAATTGTCAAGCTGATTCTAAAATTTATAAGGAGATGCAAAGGACCTAGAATAGCCAAAACAATTTTGAAAACGAACAAAATAAGAGACCCTAGCTAATTTTAAAATTTAACTAATCTCAAATAATCAAGAATGTGTGATTGGCAAAAGGATGAGCATGTAGATTAGTGGAACAGGATTGAGAATCCGGAAATAATTCTTACATTTATGATCATTTGGTTTTTGAAAAAAGTGCCAGGACAGTTCAGTTGGGAAAGAATAGTCTTTAAACAAATGGTGCTGGGACAATTGGATATCTATATGTTTAAAAATGGCCTTAGGCATATTTTTGTGCTATATACTTAAGACAGTACACAAAAATTATCTCAAAATAGATCACATACTTAATTGTAAAACCTAAAACTATAAAAATTCTAGATAACATAGAAGAAAATCTTTGTGACCTGTGTTAGGCAGAATTCTTAGATGTGACACCAAAAGCATGAATCATA